CAGATTGTTCACATTCACTAATTAGCTCTCTTCAAATGGATTCACAAAAAGACCTTGCAAGTTCTGAATGTTGCTAGTTTGCTTTGCAGAAATGCATTCACATGTATTTTTCCCTCTTCTAATACGCTTTTGTTCAAAATTGTATATTGTAATTAACTTGTTATCCATAAATCTAATTAATAATATCAAAGGCTGATATGATACACGCACACATATAATCTGTTTTCTCCTTTATCTGTTCTTATGGATTTACCTTAGCATTCAAATTTGCAATTTATAGTGTAATGTGTGAATGTAAAATATTGGAAAAACTGAAATTTCAAAGATCTTAGGATGACATTAATGCAATTTAGAATTTCTGTGGCTGGAGATTATGATGCCAACTTTTAGTCTTAACCCAGGATTTTGATCCTTCACGACATTCCAAAAATCAGCCGACCTTTGGTCTTGGCCCTTGTGTAGTATTTTAATTTTGAAGCCAAGTAAGATCTGCTGATCTTTGCATTTTCAATACTCATGCAGGGATGTGGTAAGGCACTTTAAATTACCTTCGAACACTATAGCTCTGTGTGAATACTTTTCTCGAGTGCTATCATATGCACATTTATCAGGTAAAAACGAAAAACTTTAATTTTTTTCATTATATGCTTGTGCATCGATATCTTGGGCTCGTTTTGCGTGCACTTGAGCTGACTTAATGAGGGCTTAAACCTTAAACTGATCCAGATTGAACATTAAAACTCTTCAGGAGGCAAGTTCTTAACGCCACTGTATCTTAAGACTTGAAATCATTAGTTAAGTTTAAACATCCCTTACCAATTGATCCCATCACTTATGCATGTGCACAAATATATCAATTGAAAAATTTGGAACCAGGACCTATTCAAGCGAGGAAATGATGATACTATTAAGAGGTTTTAGTCGACAGTTGATCCGATCCAGGCATTTAGTGGTTCAAGACTTTAATTTCTAATGCATACACAACTACATTTGCAATTTGAGTATGAGTTAGGTAAGTTGTGTGAAGGTTGAATGGTGATTGAGATGAGACAATCTATCTGACAAGTGTAACTGCGCCACCTCGCCTATTTAAAAGAGGATATTATGGCAATGCCTGCAATCCACAGAAAGCCCAACATCTCACGTTCTTATCTGGTGAGTAACTGTGTCTGATAATCTGAATCCCATCAAGATAAGCAATAATTCTTCTTTGGAGATGCAAATAGCATTTGTGGAACGAGTTAGGAAATTCCTTTTTCACTTTGCTTCCATGTGTTGATCAGAAAAAAAAAATCATTGAATAATTTAATTGGCTCGTGTTTTTTTAATAGAAAAAACTGGATCCTTTATTTAAATCATCAGAATTTGGTGTCTTAACAAAATTATTTAAGGGCAAAAAAATTTTGAAGCCAAGTAAGATCTGCTGATCTTTGCATTTTCAATACTCATGCAGATGTGGTAAGGCACTTTAAATTACCTTCGAACACTATAGCTCTGTGTGAATACTTTCTCGAGTGAGTGATATCATATGCACATTTATCAGGTAAAAACGAAAAACTTTAATTTCTTTTCATATATTGCTTGTGCATCGATATCTTGGGCTCGTTTTGCGTGCACTTGAGCTGACTTAATGAGGGCTTAAACCTTAAACTGATCCAGATTGAACATTAATAACTCTTCAGAGGCAAGTTCTTAACGCCACTGTATTCTTAAGACTTGAAATCATTAGTTAAGTTTAAATGATCCCTTACCAATTGATCCCATCACTTATGCATGTGCACAAATATATCAATTGACAAATTTGGAACCAGGACCTATTCAAGCGAGGAAATGATGATACTATTAAGAGGTTTTAGTCGACAGTTGATCCGATCCAGGCATTTAGTGGTTCAAGACTTTAATTTCTAATGCATACACAACTACATTTGCAATTTGAGTATGAGTTAGGTAAGTTGTGTGAAGGTTGAATGGTGATTGAGATGAGACAATCTATCTGACAATGTGTAACTGCCCACCTCGCCTATTTAAAAGAGGATATTATGGCAATGCCTGCAATCCACAGAAAGCCCAACATCTCACTGTTCTTATCTGGTGAGTAACTGTGTCTGATAATCTGAATCCCATCAAGATAAGCAATATTCTTCTTTGGAGATGCAAATAGCATTTGTGGAACTGAGTTAGGAAACTTTCCTTTTTCTCTTTTGATTTCCATGTGTTGATCAGAAAAAAAAAATCATTGAATAATTTAATTGGCTCGTGTTTTTTAATAGAAAAAACTGGATCCTTTATTTAAATCATCAGAATTTGGTGTCTTAACAAAATTATTTAAGGGCAAAAAAAGGAGCCTGTCAACTGCTCCCTCCAATCTGATATATAAAATACATTTTAAAAGTAATTTTTGTTCAAAATGCAAGACATTATTAATTAAATCACTTTTTTTTTTAATTTTATCCTATCTTGATTAATGTAAAAATATTTAATATAGTTGTATTATTTGTTTAAAATTAAAGGTAAATATGAAAGTATATCTCATTTTTTATAATATTAAAAAAAAAACTAATTTTTTTTAATATATATGAAATGGTTAAAAATGTCTTGCAAGAAGAATCAGGAGGAGTATGTCACAAAAGATTGAATTCGTGGCTGTTATGTTTGAGTAAAATTTTCTGAAAAAAGTTAAAAAATATCAATTCATATAAACAATTGGATTTCAATAACAGATAAGGCATTTGAGTTTCAAATACATTTTTATATTATAATTAAAATAAAAATATTTATGTATAACTTTTTGAATTCATATTTGCAAACCTTTTTTTTTAAAATAAAACTTGTCAATAACCTAACTATTATTAATTTAATTTTTTGAAACCTAACAATCATTTTTTCTATCAAACAAGAACTACTAGGGCCATGAATTCTTTTTTATTTTTTTGTTTTTAAATAAAGTTCAAGTTAATTGGGTTCCAGAAGTTCATCAAGATAGAGAGTATACCTTTAAATTAAAAAAAAAAGCTTATAAATTATCTACCAATAAGGTTTTACATTAAAAGTAAGATTTAATTCCATGACCTTATAAATTATAAGTCAAATTCTTACCAAATTGGCCAATCTTCATTGAGTCCATAAATAATATTAAAGTATTCAATGTAGCATGTGTCTTTCTTTTTTAAACCTAGTTGGGGTTCATAGTTTTGCAAGCCCTTTAATTAAAAAAAGGCTATATTTTTTGTTCATTTTTAATAATTCATAATATTGTAAGAGGATTATTGAAAAATTATTATATTTATTTTAAAAAAGCCAATGGGGCTCTATTTCATTCAAAACAACTCAACAATTCCAACGTGATATAAGACCGTCGAAAGCAATATTTTTATATTTTGCGATGACGCTAAATTAATATCGTGTTTGCATTAGAGTTTCTTTTACTGTTTTCACGCATCAAATGCATATACGATCAACAATGATATTTTTGTATTCTTACTTAATTAGACCTCTTATTATATATGCTTCTCCCTTCTTATTTATAAGAGATTTTTCTAGAAACTTTTCATAATTTTATTTATAATTATTTTGTAAAATTTATAATGAAATTATTATTATTTTTTCAATTGTGCTGATAGTATAGATATTATTGGATTATCATGGTGGAGAGACGAAATGAGAGACAAATAAAATTAGGTTATGATTTATTGCAATTAATTTAATATATATTTATAAGACAGAGAAATAAGATTTTTTGGTCATATTTATAAGTCACCTTATTAAATTTTCAACACAAGTTCTCCTTTTTACCTCCATTGAATATTGGAGAGAAAAAAAATATGTTGTTAAGATATATAAAATTATAATGAAATTATTATTATTTTTTCAATTGTGCTGATAGTATAGATATTATTGAATTATCATGGTGGAGAGGCAAAATGAGAGACAAATAAAATTAGGTTATGATTTATTGCAATTAATTTAAATACACTCATTCTGATCCTATTTATAAGATAGAGAGAGAAGTTTTTTTGATCATATTTATAAGTCACCTCATTAAATTTTCAATATAAATTTTTCTTTTTACCCTTCATTGAATATTGGAGAGAAAAAATAAAATGTTGTTAAGATATGTATATTTAACATAGATAAAGTTGATACCTTATTGAATTTTAAGATAGAGTTAATGAGTTTTATTTTTTTTTATTTTAATAAAATATGTTAAAAGGGATTTATAAATAAGACAAGAGAAGTATTATTTAGAAAAATGAGATAATTTTAAAAATCAACTAATTCTAACTGACTTTTTTCTTTTGTTTTTCTTTTTGGTTTGTGTGAATTTGTTAAAGATGATTCGTAAATAGATAAGGGGGAGTAGAAATAACTATTAATTACTTGGTAACCAATACTTTAATTTAAGTTTGAGACCAAAAAATTTCAAAATTCAAGTAGAGGACCTTTGGCCTTTGACAATCATAGTAAGGAAATGTACTGTAGTATAATTTTAGTTTCTTGTATATATTTAGTTAGGAACTACTATTATACCAAAAGATATTGGTTGCAGTAAAAGAAGTTATAATCATTTAAAAATGATTCCTTAAATTTTTTTTTTTGGGTCAGGATTCTTTGAATTTGAATCTACATAAAACAAAAAATACATTTTAAAAAAGTTAGAACTAAGATGACCCAAAATCGACTGCGTTTGAGCCAAGTGCTTTTGCTCCCCTTAAGTGAGAAGTCATGTCAACTTCCAGTTTCTTGTATATATTTAGTTAGGAACTACTATTATACCAAAAGATATTGGTTGCAGTAAAAGAAGTTATAATCATTTAAAAATGATTCCTTAAATTTTTTTTTTTTTTGGGTCAGGATTCTTTGAATTTGAATCTACATAAAAACAAAAATACATTTTAAAAAAGTTAGAACTAAGATGACCCAAAATCGACTGCGTTTGAGCCAAGTGCTTTTGCTCCCCTTAAGTGAGAAGTCATGTCAACTTCCTTATTCGCTACTATAATTCATATCACATCACATCTTAATCTGGGATTATTCCTCCCAACTGACATTCCACAGTTCTTCTGCGGTACTGGCTCCTTGGGATTAGCAAGAACACCTTTGGTTATGCTTCCCCGATCTGCTGCAGCCCTCTTCGGCCTATAATAATATTTTTGCCCATTTACAATTCCCACATCCTCCTTCTCTATTCTTGGATCATGACAGGTTTTGATCTTCTTTTCTAACGAATTCAAAGTATTGATCATCTTCTCTGGTTCTCCATCATTCTTCTTCACCAAAACTTTCACTGCAACAGACTGGTTTTTGGCTTTCAGTGCTTCGCAAGCAGCCTTATGCAACGTCCCATGCAAGTGGAAATTCAAATCAGCCTCGGAAGTAGTTGTTATCTAGCATATGGCACAAGTCCACTCTTTCTGAAATTTCTCAGATGCAGAAATCTGAGGAGATGCACCACTTTCTGCATATTTTCCCGCCATTCTTTCAGTTTTTGCTATGGTAGATGATGTGTTCTCATTGGATTTGAGGCTGCACAGCGCTGTATTAGCCTGCAATATGTTGAAGACTTGGCAGAAAGAAAGCAAAAACATTCTAAGCAAGGAACACAGTGAGATGTTTGATTTTCAAGACTACTATACGTTGACTATACTTCTTGGGAAGTTAACTTTATCAGGAAGTAGGATTATTGAACCAAGAGAGGCCCTGGCCCTTTCTATTGTAGTCTTAAAACTGAGTATTGGTGCTCGTGCATAAAAGGAAAAGGGCATTTATAACCAAGTACACTTTTTAAGCTAGATACAAGTATACAAGAGTGACGCAGGCCTCCACTGAGTTTTGCTGTAACTATATAGACTTTTCTTCTAATTCCAAAATCGATATAGAATTTCTCTTAAAATCAAAAGGAAAAATACACAAACCTCTCTGAGCTTTGCAAAAATTACGTAGATGTCTCTTTCACTTTCAAGGAGTTTTGTATATTTTGAAAACAAATTAGACTTTCATGTAAATTCAAAAAATCCAAGAGAAATATATATGATTTACTCTCTGTTTCAGGGAAAGCGTGCGTAAATTTTGATCAGAAAAAGAAAGTTTATGTAATTTTAGCAAAAGTCAGGAGCTTTATATAACTTCTTGCTAATTACTCACTCTTCACGACTTCTATGGCATAGAGATAGAGGGCAGGAAGTAGAGCCTTGAATCTAAAACCTCTTGCTAATAACTCAACATACGTCATTACTTGATCACATCCTGTGGTTTTTTTTTTTTTTTTCAATAATATTTGTTAATTGTTCGTTATCACATTGTTTCCACTTATTTCAATTATTTTTCTGGCAATCATAAGGAACACTCCCCACCCCCTCAAAAAAAAAAAAAAAAACCCACCCACCCGCCCACCAAATATACTTATTAAGAGACCTAATTTATTTGCAAATAGCCAACTTTAGCATTGTAAAAAATATATCTTTCCATAGGGAAAAGCAACCCTGCATCTTTTAATTGAAAGATACAAGAAATCTTGCTTGCCATCAGGGACCTCCTCTTTTTCAATCATCTCCAAAACTTTGATGTCTTTCTGTTCCAAGGGAAGCCTTACTTTATTTGTCTGCACAAGGACAATAAGGTTGGAAGACACACTCCTTCACAAAATAATAAATGATTTTCTACCACAACTATAACAGAGAAAATATCACCCAGAAAAGCGTTTCATTTCTTTCATGTTTAAAACTGGCAATAATATGACAAGAATTGCATGAGAAATTTAACTCAAACAACACATATATAGACTAAAACAAGTGAACAGCCCTTGTTTTCCTGAAACACGTTTTAGAATTTAGCTGTGTTAATAAATGCATAACAAGAATCACATGAAAAAATTCACCTGCTGCATTTCATTCTTCTCTGTAATTGGAACTCGTTTTTCGTTTCTGCATCAAGGTTTTTCTCATTGTTCTACAGTCCAAGGCAAGGATAAATTGCCTCAACCATTCAGTTATCAAGATTTACAAATTAAGTATGCAAATGGAGTGACAGTAGTGGTGAGCAATTCTTCACTCAAGCTACCCATTTATAGATTAAACCGGCTTTCCTGAGGCACTTTTAGGTGGGATCTATGATGTTGGTGCTTTCGTATGCTAGTGTCAAAATGATATGAGGCATAGAAAGACACCATTTAAAATCATACCACTTTTAGCTGTCTTATCTTATAAAATAATAAAATACTAATTGTATGATTTTCTTGAAAAATTTATATTGTCATATCTAACACAAAAAATATTAAATGGCAATGTACCAAACATCTAACTCTATGTTATAGCAGAGAATACCTTTTAGCCTTTGTACTCCTATCCATCTATACACCTAATATATATGTGTGTGTGTGTGTGTGTGTGTGTGTGTATGGTTATTTATACCATGCTAGCCATGAGTTTCTCTAAGGCTTCAGTTCCATTCTCTGTTATATATTTCTCAGCCAGCATTAGAAAGTCTTCTTTCTCCACAAAGACCTTCTTCCAGTTCCTGAATTTGCTTGTGAGTACATATGGATTGATGCAGATGCACAACTGAATGAGCTGACTGTATAAGTGAGAAGCTCTTCCAAAGTCCGGTATCACGAGGAAAAGAATGATCATTAGCTTCATGTAATGCCAATACTGGAACCTGATGTTGAACATGAGGATGCAAAAGTAAGATTATAAAGAATATTCATCTAATATCAGTTAACGCAATTTTAACCTTAGATGATGCGACAAAACCTGTAAAATATAGTCAAGGAAGAGCTTCAACCTCTCTGTTCAGCTATTAATTTTAGATTTACTTGAAAAAGCTTAACTTTAATTGAAAACTAACAATTGTTAGGGGGATTAAAACTGTGGGACCAAGAGAGAAAATAAATGCCAATAAAGGACCAAATCATTTAGAAGTAGTAAAATACCACTTAATGACCAAGACTTGAATTCCAAAGTTAATTTACTATAATACCCTTACTAAGCTTTTTCCCCTTCAAATGTTTCATGTTAAATTTTAAAAGTTCAATCGCACATTGTAAATTTAAGAAAATTTCAAATTCTTACAACGTAATCAATGAATTTACAAAGCTTTTTCAATGATCCATATTAAATTTTAGAAGATCATATGTAAATCATGCTATAATAAAAAAGATGAGTGTCAAATCTATGCAACTTAATGGAAGAATTAATTTTTTTTTCAATCTTCCAAAATTTACAACTAACCATAGAATGATTTGCAATTGAATTTCAACATTTTAACAAAAAACATTGAAAATTTTTTCATTCATTCATTTATTTTTAGTTGTAGGAATTTGGGACCATCTTTTTAAATTTACAACTAACCTTGCAACATTTAACACAGAACATTTGGGGAAAACCTTTCGTAAGGGCGTCTAAGTAAATTACCTTGGAAATTTTGATATTTAGTCCTTGAAAGATATTTGAAACTGTTCGGTCCTTCCTTGACAATATTTGACTCATTTGGTCCAAAGTGACATTATCCATTCCCTATATTCTATGCATGTAGATTTTTGGCAAATGATACACAGATACAGAATAGAGCATTTACCATTGGAAAAGCTTGAGAGAAGCATACTCAAAGAGGTATATCAATAAGAGTAGTATCCAATAAGAGATCAATTTTCGAGCGTCTGAATTGTTATCATTCTCAATTGGTTGAACGGAAGCACATCTTCAACCACATAACACCATCATCCTAAGCAACAAAAACAGTATAACCATAACTATCACTAAAACAATGATCTGGAGGAAAAGCTATGGTACATTTTTTCGGTACATGCAATTAGATCGTTTACTAGAATCATGAAAATGCAAGAACGTTTTTAGAAGTCAATAATTGATACTGCATTGTAAAACATATCCACGGGCTATACTTTTTATTAAAGAACTTTGATCATAAACCCTAAACCATTTTTTAAGTAGATTGGGTTTACCGAATTAATCTGAAAATTACACATAATCATGTCAGAACAGAAACTCCACTAAAAAATTATATTTATGCGAACATTCTATCTATTAGCTGCTGCCATTTTTATTTAAATTGATTAGCAAAGGGATTGATTATGGAGACTGTTTTCCCCCCAAACACTCACACACAGAGCGAGCAAGCAAAAGATACTTACAAGGGATAATCTAAAGCAAGAACGAGCCTGTATATAAAAACATCAAAGAGTTACTTTCCATTGTAAGAGAGACCATCAAGTATTTAGGATGTTGAACTGCTAATGTTAAGGTAGGGGAAAAAGCTAAAACAGATGATCAAATGTGATCAGAAGAAGAAAGTTGGCGTCTCTAGCAACGAACCAAGTGAGAGGGATGTATAAGAAGATATATATAATGCATATAAAACAAGCATGCCATGAAAGAAAATGAATGCATTTAAGGAGGAGTCTGAGAAGCCACAAAGAAGACATATAATGTGGTTTAAAGTGTGGGGAGGTTGAAGCTTGAGAGAGGTGAATTGAAGAATTGTGAAGAAGACTTGACCGAGAAGGAAACGGCGGAAAGGGAGAGAGAGAGTCCGCGTGGGAAGAGGGAAACGTCAAGGACGAGCCATTAGGCGTTGGCGGGAAGTGTACAAGTGGGCTTGGCCCATGTTGTGGGCCCGGATGCTAAGTCGGGTACTAGCAATCCGCCTTACTTATTATCCAATTTAATAAAAAATAATATTATATTTATAAGTTATTTTTTACATATTATTAAAGTTAAAAATTTTTAAATCTTATTAATTCTATTTAAAAATTCAACAAGTTTTTAATTTCACTCTGTTAAACATACACACTTTAAAATAAGATATTCTAACATTTAATATACACAAAATGGAAAAATAGATACAAAAATTATTGAGATGTTATGTAAATATGAGCAAAACAAATACTCTATCTGTCCTATGAATAGTACCATTGAAGTAATGTATAATTTTTTATCTTTAATACTTATTGAAAATCTAGTCAGCCTCATCAATTAAATCAATAAATCATTGAATTAATGTCTTAATTAATTTAATAAAATATTTTATTTATGATTGGTTTGATTTTGATTCAACCAAGATTTTAACAATTAACCAATTTAATAATTTTTCTAATTTTCAGTACCTTAAATTCTATTTGCATGTGGAGGAAAGTTAAGAGGAAATAAAATGGAGGAAAGAGACAACTAGAAAAATAATGTTGCCACTGCAGGTGTTAGGATGAATCAAAGAAAACACAAAAGAAAGAAAAATGAGATGTCACAATGACAATAATACTTGTATGTCAAAATATATTATTCCCAATCCTATATAACTCTCATTTTAGAGGGAATTCATTATTTTTTTTACAATTTACGTTGCATAAAAAGATGAATCATTAATTAATTCCTTTCAATTTTATCTCTTCACAATATTCAATTAATAGAGTAAAAAGCTACAAGAGAAAGAAAATATTTTTAAAGATGATATATTTGATAAGGGTAAATTGAGAATTTCTTTTAAGACATTAATAATTTAACTATTTCTCCTTAATACAATCTTATAAATAAAATTAGAGGGAGTATGTTTTGTATAATTATCTCCATAGCAATTTTAAAATTAACATCATCAAAAAATTTTAAAATTATCATTTAAATATTGATAACATGCCAACCGCATCAAAAGATTCAGACTAATGTCAAGTAAAATTCTCCTTTGCAGGCATCGCAAGAGAGAGTGCTCTTGAGCAAAATACCAAAGAATCCTGTATCTTATGCATATAACATTTGCTAGCCACTCATGAACATGATCAAGTGCCTGGTAAGTTAATGGCAGAGGCCAAAAAAAAAAAAAAAATCTTCTACATTCTGACACAACATAAGAAAGTTTATGGTATCAAAACTTCAACAACGTCCATGCACAGAAACTCTATAGCCCCCATATAAATAAATATACTGGAAAAAGCAGAATTCTGAAGCAGATGACTCTTACTAACTAGGACCACTAAGAATTTGACTCTGAGCCAAGTGTTTCCTGCCCCGGAAGTGAGAAGCCAAGTCAACTTCACTAGTGCACTTTACATTACACATATCACATCTTAATCTGGAACTGTTTATTTCAATTGATGTTCCAGTGCTCTTCTGCAATTCTTGCACCTTGGTTTTGGGATCAAAACCTTTGCTTTTATTCCCCTGAATGATGTTTACAGTTTGAACATTTTTATGCTCCATTTTTGGATGATGACTGGTCGTAATATTCTGTTCTGATGCATTTGAAGTATTCATTATCTTCTCTTGTTCTCCATTGGACTTGTCATTCTTCTTCAGCAAAACTTTCTCAGCAACATTCAGGCTTTTCGCTTTCTGTGCTTCAAAAGCAGCCTTATGCTGCTTTCCTTGCAGGTGGGCATTCAAATTAGCTTCGGAAGTAGTTCTAACCTGGCATATGTTACAAGTCCACTCTTTCTGTACATTAGACAAACAACTCTGATGAGATGCTCCGTTTCCTGTGCCAGTCGCCGCGGCATTTCCTTCTGTTTTCTTTGCTTTCAGTGCTTCACAAGCCATCTTATGCTTCCTTCCTTGTAGGTGGGAATTCAAATTAGCTTCAGAAGGCATTGTCAACTGACATATGGCACAAGTCCACTCTTTTTGTACATTCTCAAGTGCAGAAATCTGAGGATATGCTCCTCCCTCTTTGTCTGCCGCCATTTTTTGGGTTTTCACTGTGGAAGATGATGTGCTTTCATTTGATTCGAGGCTGCACAAGGCTGTATTAGCCTGAAATGTTGAAAACTTCGCATCGAGGTGAAAATTAGTATAAAAAATGGACATAACAAGATAGAAAGTGTACACATTTAGTCTATTTTTAGTATAGTCTTCAAAACTGAGTAATGGTTACTCATGCATGCAAAAGAAGAGGAATATATAACCAAGTACTCTTCCAAATCTAGAAATATAAGTGGAAAATAATAAATCATGAAGACTTTCCATTTGGTTTCAAAACCTACACAAATTCACTAAAAACAAAATGTAAATTATAAGGACCTCCCCTGAATTTTGCTACAGTCATAAAGACTTCATTTCTATTTTTGGAACACTTTGCTTACATTTGAAAATAATTGCATATCTGTGCAGTTTCTACAAAACTCAAGAGAGGTTTGCGTGAGTTCTGAAAATAGAAAGGATATATGTGTAATTTTAGCGAAATTCATGAAAAGTTTGTGATTTTTGAAAATTGATGGGTGTTTTATAAAACTTAAGCAAAATTAAGGGACGTTTGTGTAGCCTACTCAATATGCAATTCAATTTGTGTAGCCCACTGAAATTGAATCATATTCTTGTCAAACATTCTTTTTCATAAATGAAGAAGCAGAGAATAAAATCTAAAACACCTTGAAAATTGCTCTAACTCCTCAGCACATAATCACAGCTTCATTGGTTTCTTCCGATATTATCAGTCATTGTTCATATCATATATCACTTTGTTTTCCACTTTTTTTTCCCCTAATTTCTTTTCTGGCAATCACAAGGAATGGGGAAGTGAAAAGTTCCAGCAACTACGAGTATTAACAGAACTAAGCCATGTGCAAATAAAAAACTCCAGGATTACTTAGTATTGGAGAAAACTCTTTTGTTTTTACTTGAAAATGATAAGAAATCTTACTTGCTTGACTTCGGAAACTTCCTCTTTTTCAATCATCTCCAAATCTTTGATATCTTTCTGTTCCATGTGAAGCCTTCCTCTATTTGTCTGTATAGAGGCAATTAGGTTGAAAATAAAGCTCTTCAGACAATTGTAAATGATCTTCTACCGCTATTAAAAGATGGGGAAGAAAAACAACATTCTTGCTCTTCATTTATCGAACACTTCAACCCAGAAAAGGTTTCATCTTTTTCATGTTTGAAACTGGCAATGAAAAGACAAGAATTACATAAGAAATTCATCTGCTGCATTTCATTCTTCCCAGTAGTTGGAACTGCTCTTATTGTTCCTGTATTAAGATTTTGTGTTGTGTTCTTCAATAGAAGTAAAGGTTAACTGGCTTAATTCTTCAGCAATCAAAATTCACATAAAGATAAAATAAGCGGGCAATTTAAATGAAGGAGGGAGTGAGTAAATTCAAACTAAACCCACACATCTATAGACTGAAATTAGTTTGCAACTTTTTCGCTCCTAAAATACATTTAAGAATATGTTTGATATGCTCATTTCGACCCAAGGATCTTGAATTTCAAGTGACATCTAAGATGCATGTGTATCGATATATTTATTTCTGCGATGCTCCAAGTCATGCACTAACAATAGGCATAAGAAGACACCATTTCAAACTACACTTTAAGCTATGTTATGTTTTACAAAATGCCAAAATGGATGACAAGAATGAGAAAAAATCACCTTCAGGATTTCATTCTTCTCAGTACTTGGCACTGCTTTTCTTGTTTCTGCATTAGGACTTTTCTCTGTGCTCTGCAATAAAAGGAAATGATAATTTGCTTAATTCCCCAGTAGTCAAGATTCACAAACCAAGTAGACAGCTTGAATGAGACTGGTGGTGAGTACTTTTGAACCCAAACATGCCATTTATAGATTAACAATCAGCATGCATCCCTATTATGAAGGCATTTGGCGTACTCATTTGGTATCCAAATTAAACAACCTGAGTATCCATAATATCAAGAGGCATAGGATGATCCCATCTCACATCACACCACTTTTAGCTTTGGCATCTTTCATAAAATAAAATACATATTGTACTATGATTACCATGAACACTTTCAATTTCCATGCTTAACTTGACAATCTTCAATAATGACTAGACAGGGATCCCATGCATTGCACAGAGTTTGAGGAATGAGCCACACTGTTCACAGCTAATAAACTGAATAGCTTGTTAAAGTCTGATATTTCACATCGATGTACCAAACATCTCTTAAACCTAAGTTATAGCAGAGAAAACTTTTTTCTTTTGTACTCCACTACACATATATATACCAGATATATATATATATATATATGGTAATTTATACCTTGCTAACAATGAGTTTCTCTAAGCCTTCAGTTCCATTCTGTGTTATGTACTTCTCAGCCTGCATTAGAAAGTCTTCTTTCTCGACAAATATCTTCTTCCAGTCGCTGAATCTGCTTATGACTGCCTGTGGATTCATGTAGAGACATGAACGAATGAGGTGATTATAGACATAAGCAGCTCTTCCAAAGTCCGGCATCACAAGGTAGACAACAATCGCTAGCTTCACGTAATGCCAGTACGGAATCCTGATGTTGAAGATGAGGAGGCAAATTAAAAGTAAGATTGGTGCAGAACCTTGATCTGATATCATAATTAAAGCATTTCTAACTACAAATGATATGATAAAACCAGTAAATTAGTAAAGTGAAGCTTTTTGTCAAATGGTAGAGAGTAAAAATGATTTACCATTGAAGAAGCTGGAGAAAAGCATACTCAAAGAGGTATATCAGTGAGAGAAGTATCCAATAAGAGATCAAATTCCGAGTGTCTGAATGGCTATCATTCTCAATTGCTTCAACGGAAGCGCATCTTTCACCAAATCATAAACAACAAAAACAGCATCACTTATCACTGACATAATAATAAATCAAAGGAAATGTTCAGATAATCCTTAACTGTATATTCATTATTAGCATATTCTGGGCATTTTACACCAACACATACACACAAACAGATAGATAAAGAGACTTACAGAGGATAAACCAAAGCAAGAACGGGCCTGTAAATGAGAACAACAGAGTCAATAATCAACAAGTGAGGGGCTAAAGAGAAGATTAAGTATTTAGAACATTGAACTGCAAAAGTGAGGACATATAAATAGGCAAAGATTACAGATTAAGAAATCTGAGCGGAAGCAGAAAGTATACACTATATATGCAGGCATATAGAAGAGCATACCATGAAAGAAAATCAATGCATTTAAGGAGGAGTTCGAGGGACCAGAAAGAAGCCATATAGGATCGGAGCTACAATCTTGTGTGACAGGTGACGAGGTCGAATCTGCAGAGGGATGAAATGAAGAATTGTGAAGACGACTTCGTCAAGAAGGAAAAGGCAGAGAGAGAGAGAGAGAGGGAAGAAAACAAAGTCGTCGTCGTCCTGGAAAAGGAGAGAGTCAATCAAGATCAAGAGTAGCAGCTAGCCAGGAACCTTTATTTTATAATTAAGGTTACCGTGCATTTGTTTAACTGGCTAATACATGTATTAATAAGTGAAGTATTTCTTTTTTTTTTAAATTATTTTTATAGGAGTAGAAATCTTCTTTTAGTAATGATCCGTTAACTGAAGAGAATTTTCACCCTTTTAAAAAATAGTTTTGGAAAAAAATGTTACAATACAAATGTCCAACACTTCTAAAATATATATATATATATATATATAAAAATATATTTTAACCCTAACAACAATAATAATAATAATATTTTTAAATAAGTTTTAAAAAAGAATCTTATAAAAAAATTAATAATGATTAAGTATTTTAAATATAATGGTCATTATGTGTATTTTTTATCAACTAATGATCTTTTTTTTTAAAATATTGTTTCATCCAAATTTAATATGTTGATATTTTGTCACTTTATATTAAAAAGGAAGGAATTGTCTTGCTATAATTAATATTGTCTTGCTAAATTTTCAACTTTCCCAATTTTAAAATTAGAAGCATATTTCATTATATGAAAATATTAATTAAAAATAAGTCACACTTAAATTTTAAATATTTATTAATTTGATCGTTTGTTGATCAAAAAAGTACAAAGAGTGACCTAGAAAATTTAAAAAATTTAATTAATATTAATTTTCTCAAAATATCATTCTATTAATAAATATTAAATAGTTTAACAATATTTATTAAATTTTATTTTAATAAAAATTTATGGTATCCAACACTCCTAAAAAAAATATTTAAGAATAAATTAGCATTAAAAGACATGCTAAGTTAGAAGAAAATGACATAGTAAATGGATTCCTAATAGAGGAGGATTTTTGTTCTTTAAAAAAAAACCTCAGGGGTAAAAAATGCACCTAACCATATAATTTATTTTGGAGTGGTGGTGAGTTGAATCAGGTTCAAGCTCTACAAAGTTATTAGCTTAGCTAAATGTATAAATAACACCTTTCCTTGTGACACTTAAATAGTTAAATACTTATAAATAGATGTCATGTATAAAATGAATAAAATATACTTTCTTGTTTTCTCTTGCAATTCTTCTTATCTTATTATTCACTTTTTATACTCTCTTTCTATTTGTTTTCGCAAAATGTTATCAGCACGTAAAGTTTTATACATTGATCAATTTATGTTGTTAGTGTAATTTGATTTATTTATTAATATCGTGTGAATTATTTACTTTATTGATGAATTTATTTGCTTTATTGTGTTTCTTTATCTTTATTGTGCTATAATTGTTTAATAAGTTTGTTTGTTTATATTTATATTCTTTATATCACACTTCATTATGAATTATATTTTATGATTTATTTACGGTTATTTATTTTTTATAAAATGGTTATTTATTATTTTAATGCTTATGTGTGAAGAATTTTTTTACTATAATATTTATTTATTTATTATGCTTTATTTTATTAATTTTATCATAATTCTAATTATTATTATTATTTTAATTTGGATCATGTCAAATCTTATCAAACTTGAATTTATAGCTCTTAATGAAAAATAGTTATCTTTATTGAGTTTTATATGTTACAATTCACATAAATGTTAAAGGTTTATGAAATGTAATTTTTCCTAGAAATGAAGCAATTGATCAAGATATGGTCAAGATAATGATTTTATTCTGTCATCATCTTCATGAAGGGTGAAGAGTTAAATACCTAAAGGTAAAAAATTCACTAGAATTGTGCAATAATTGGAAAGAAAAGCATGATCACTACAAAACAATAATTTTATCTAAAGCCCGATATGATTGGATGTATTTGAGTTGTAAGATTTTATAAATATAAGTGAATATAATTTAATAGTTTTTAAAATAGGTTCTCAATTGAAATTATATGGTGAGAAAACAACTAATGAAGACTTATTAGTAAAATATATTTTCAACTTTGCATGCTTCAAATATATCCCTACAACAATAATATTGTGAAAAAGGTTTTAAAAAATATTTTGAATTAATCTCAATAACTTTTTATGGTTGAAAAAAATAATGAGTTGATAAAAAATCATGAAATGTGTCTTACTAAATCAGCTTCAATCCTTGAAGAGTATCTTAATTGGTTTAATAAGAATTTTTATTTATAATTGGTTTGATCATGATTGAATCATATTTTAACTATTAACTCTTAAATTGTATCTCAACTGATTTAACAATTGATCTAATTTTCAATACTTTAATGATTGGTTTGCATGTAAAGAAGAGTTGAAAGGGAAGAAAATAGAGAGAAGAGACAAGTAGAAAAATTAACGTCATCACTGTTAGGATGAACGGAATAAGATGCAGAAGAGAGAAAAATGAGATGTCACAATGACCACAATACTTACCTGTCAAAATATATTATTCCCTCCAATCCTATATATTAAAAAAAGATGAATCATCAACTAATTCCTTTCAATTTTATCTTTTCACAATATTTAATTAATAGAGAGTAAAAAGTTAGAAGAGGAAAAAAAAATATTTTTAAAAATAATATAATCAATAAGGGTAAATTGAGTATTGCATTTAAAACATTAATAATTTAACAACTTCTCCTTTAATAGCATTGTATAAATAGAATTAAAGAGCGTATGTCTCATATAATTATCTCTATAACAATTTTAAATATAGCATCATGAAAATATTTTAAAATTATCGCTTGAAAATTGATAAGATACGAACCGTATTAAAAAAAGATTCACACCAATGTCAAGTAAAATTCTCCTTTGCAGGCATCACAAAGAGAGTGCTCTTAAGCAAAATGCCAGAGAATCTTGTCTCTTGTGCATATAACATTTGCTGGTCACTCTTGATCAAGTGCCTGGTGCGTCAATGGCAGAGGGGGGCAAAAAAAAAAAAAAAAAAACACTCACACACACACACACACACTCCCCACGTACATTCTGACAAAACAGAAATTTCATAGTATCATAACTTTAACAATGTCCACGTACAGAACTCTACAGCCCCCATATATATGCTGCTGGAAAAAGCAGGATTCTAAGGCAGTTGACTTCTTTTACTAGCTAGGCCTGTAACATGTTTGGTTGGAGGAAAGCGGAGGGCATGAGAAGGAGTTTAATGAAGGGGAGGGGAAGGGAGGGAAGGGGAGGGGAAGCGAGGGGGAGGAATCCCACCAAATCTCTCTGATGGGGAGGTGAGGGTTTGGAGAGGAGGGGAGGGAAGGGGCTCGCTCCATCCAGCCAAGGGGAGGGAAGGGGAGGGGAGGGGAGCCCAAACAGGAGGCAGGAATTTGACTCTGGGCCAAGTGATTGGTTGTGATCTTCTGTTCTAATGCATATGAAGTATTGATTATCTTCTCTTGTTCTCCATTGGACTTGTCATTCTTCTTCAGCAAAACTTTCTCAGCAACATGAAGGCCTTTTGCTTTCTGTGCTTCAAAAGCAGCCTTATGCTTCTTTCCTTGCAGGTGGGAATTCAAATTAGCTTCGGAAGCAGTTCTCAACTGGCATATGTCACGAGTCCACTCTTTCTGCACATTATTAGACACACAACTCTGGTGAGATGCTCCGTTTCCTGCATCAGTTGCCGCGGCCTTTGCTTCGGTTTTCTTCGCTTTCAGTGCTTCACAAGCTGCCTTATGCTTCCTTCCTTGTAGGTGGGAATTCAAATTAGCTTCAGAATGCATTGTCAACAGGCAAATGGCACAAGTCCACTCCTTTTGTACATTCTCAAACGCATGAAGATCAGGATATGCTCCTCGTTCTGTGTCTGCCGCGATTTTTTGGGTTTTCGCAGTGGAAGATGATGTACTTTCATTTGAGTCGACGCTGCACAAGGCTGTATTAGCCTGCAATGTTGCAAATTTGGAATAAAGGTGAAAATTACTGAAAATAAAGGACCTAATAAGATAGAAAGTGTACACATTTAGTCTATTTTTAGTATAGTCTTCAAAACTGAGTAATAATTATTACTCATGCATGCAAAAGAAGAGGAATACAAGTGGAAAATAATAAATTATGTAGACTTTCCTTTTGTTTTCAGAGCCTAAACAAATTCACTAAAAACAAAATGTAAATTATAAGGATCTCCCCCTGAATTTTGCTACAATCATAAAGACTTCATTTCTATTTTTGGGAGGGTTTGCTTACATTTGAAAATAAAGGGTAGATCAGTGTAGTTTCAACAAAACTCAAGAGAGGTTTGTGTAAGTTTTGAAAATAGAAAGGATATATGTGTGATTTTAGCAAAATTCATGAAAAGTTTGTGATAGTTTTGAAAATTGATGGGAGGTTTATTTTATTTCACAAAATAAAATACCAATTGTAGTATGCTTTCCACGAACACTTTCAATTAACATGCTTGACATGAAAGTCTTCAATAACAACTACATGTGTATCCCATGCATTGCGTAGAGTTTGAGGAATGAGTCGCACTATCCACAGCCAATAAAAAGAATAGCTTGTTAGAGTCTTATATTTTACATTGATGTACCAAACATCTCTTAACAAGAACTTTTTCTTTGGCACTCCAAGACACACATATATACCTCATATATGTGTGTGTGTGTGTGTGTGTGTGTGTGGTAATTTATACCTTGCTAGCAATGAGTTTCTCTAAGCCTTCAGTTCCATTCTGTGTTATGTACTTCTCGGCCTGCATTAGAAAGTCTTCTTTCTCGACAAATATCTTCTTCCAGTCGCTGAATCTGCTTATGACAGCCTGTGGATTCATGTAGAGACATGAACGAATGAGGTAATTATAGACATAAGCAGCTCTTCCAAAGTCCGGCGTCATGAGGCAAACAACAATCATTAGCTTCATGTAATGCCAGTACGGAAACCTGATGTTGAAGATGAGGAGCCAAATTAAAAGTAAGATTGGTGCAAAACCCTAACCTGATATCATAATTAAAGCATTTCTAACTACAGATGACATGATAAAACCAGTAAATTCTGATCAATTAGAGAAGAACATCGACTGATATTGAGTAAAGTGAAGCTTTTTGTC